CGCCTAAGGTCAAAGGGAAATTTTCAACTAGTAAATGTGGTATATGGAATGTTTCTTAACACAGTTAAACTTTAAACTTTCAGTTCAGCTAAAGTCTTCCTTTCCTGAATTAAAAGAAGAAAAAGAGTAAAGTGAATCTTTTATACTCTGCTAATTCAGAGGCAGGGTTATCTGTTGGCTTCTTGGGAACAAAGCTAGAATTTTTAGAGGACCGTTTTGTTCAGCGAGGTTTTAGCAGTCACTTAGTAGGCAAATGTATCCTTTTTTGTTCTACCTTTAGTGTCCACACCTCTCTGTTCATGGAATGTCAGACTCTCTTGAAATTCAGTTTACAAACGCATCGAGGTGTGTCTTTTGTTGCTACCCATACCTAAGTCACCTATTGTGGCAGAAAAACGTGTTACAAGTTTTATGGGTAATATTTCTAAGAGAAGAGCACTTCCCTCAGTTTGGCACATTCTAAGGAAAGATTCTAAGGAAAGAAAGCTATTTTAAACAGAGACCTGACTTAACTCACAAAGTGAGTAGCCCTGGCTGGCCTGGAACTTTCTGTAGACCAGGCTGGCCGCAAACTCACAGAGATTCATTTGCCTCTGCCTTCTGAATACTATCACTAACGTGTGTGCCGCCATGCTCATTTAGATGTTTTATTTAACTCTTACAAGAGTCTTTGTATTACTGGTGCTGTCTCTTAAGAATAAGAAGATGAAAAGAGAATGAGAATACACAATTTGCTCTGGGTCACAACAGTGTCCCTGCCAGATGACATTGGGTAAGTGGGTTGGTCAGTTCAGGCCAGGGGAGATGGCTCAGAGAACCTGATGACCAGAGTTCAACACTCAGGGTCCACATGCTGGAAGGAGAAGACTGACCGCCTGTTGTCCTCTGACCTCTAACTGCATGCCATAGCATATACCTCCCCACCCCCAATAGAAATGTCATTTAAAAATGAATGGGCCAGTTTAGACAGAGGTTCCAAGGTCTCTACAGATTAATGTATTGTGTCATAGGACATAGTGGTTGAAGGCATTTTAAATGGACACTGCAAAATGTTGCAGATGTTTTTAAACAGAAAGGAAAAGTAAAAGTGACAGTGTTTGAAAATAGGAAACAAATGTCACCACTGTGTGATCAATTTAATGTATTTCTTTCCTTCTTTTTTTTTAATTTTTACTTTTTTTGAGAGGTCCCTCTAGGTAGGCCTGGGTATCGTAGAACTTGAAGAGATCCATCTGCCTCTGCGGCTTCCTGAGTGATGGGACTAAAGGGGTGTGCCATAAATTTAACGTATTTCTGAATAGTTATTATATAATTGTCTAATTTTTACTTTGTAGTAGCTTCTCTTCTCCATCCCCCAAGACAGGGTGTCTCTCCATAGCCTTAGCTGTTCTGGAACTTCCTCTGTAGACCAAACTGACCTTGAACTAAGTGATCTGCCTGCCTCTGTCTTCCCTAGTGCTGGGATTAAGCATGCACCACCACTGCCCAGATTTTGTAGTAGGTTTTTTTTTTTTTAAACTATAAGTTATCAAAACTGCAGAGAATTTAGTAAGGAATAGAATTTGCTTGTGGCCCTTTTCGGGGAGCAGAACCCCTCTGCCTAGTGCAGAGGGCAGCTCTTTAGCACTTGCCATGGGGGATCATGGGAATATGGGTTTAGTGTTATCTAGTGGCCTGATTTTTCAGGAGAAGCCAGAGGTACAGATTTCTTTATGAGTTTTCCTGCTCTCCAAATATTTACAGCTGGTTCAGATGTTTAAAAACAAATGAATGGCCAGGAGGTGGTGGCACACGCCTTTAGTCCCAGTACTTGAGAGGCAGAAGCAGACAGATCTCAGTGAGACTGAGGCTAGCCTGTTCTACCACGCAAGTTCTAGGACAGCCAGAACTGTTACACAGAAAAACCTGTCTAGGAAAAAAAAAAAAAAAACAAAAAAAAACCAAACCCCAAACCCCCAAAACAAATGTATTCTGGGTGGTGGTGGCACACACCTAAAATCCCAGCACTGGGCAGGCAGAGGCAGTTGAATGTCTGAGTTTGAGGCCAGCCTGATCTACAGAATGAGTTCCAGGATGAAGGGACCAGCTTCCCTTTCAGTAGTCATAGCAGCCAAACACGTGCTTCTATGGCCTTGTCCTAGACACTAGAAAGTCAGATGCCTGCCTCGTGACAAGGAACCAATCAGAAGTTAGCTGGTGGCGCTATGCTTTACGACCCTGGGTGTGCTTTACAGACAAGCTCACAGCAATGATGCACAAAGCATAGCAACCACCCTGGGAGGGCCTATGGGCCATAACAACCAATTGGCCAATCAACACACGGCAAGCCCTCCAAGCCTGGAGGCACACCAATCGTGAGCCTGTGCGTACCTCTAGACATTCCCCTTACACTGACCTATAAGATCTCTTGGGAGGCCCTAGGAGCTGTCTTTTGCGAGCCATCCGCCATGGCGGGTGGGGGAAAGACCCGAGCTAACATGGGGTTAGCTCGTTAAATTACAATAAAGCCTCATGCAGTTTGCATCAAGCTCTTGAATCCGCCTGGTGATTGGGGTGACGGTGAACGTGGCCTGGGACCCCGGATACTTGAGTTTTCTGGGGATGTAACAAGGACAGCTAGGGATACAGAGAAACCTTGTCTCGAAAAACAAAACAAAACAAAAGTGTGTCTTGTGTATGCAGTCTCAGCCCCTGTGAGTTATTCGTACAACATCTCTGTCATGTCTGGCAAATACTATTGTGATGTGGACAGTCCACCACCTGTGGCTCTTACAATCTTTGTTATATTCCAGATTGCAAAATCTTTGGGGGAAGTGGTGAGATATAGATGTCCCATTTAGCGCTGAGCCCTCCACGACCCGTCTTTTATTCTCTGCAGATTGGCCAGCTGTGGGTGTCTGTATTAATCATCCCCTACTGCAAATAGAAGCTTCTCTGATGAGGGCTGCGAGATTCGAACTTAAGGGACAGTTTATTACTGTATCCATTTAACAGAATAAATAGTATTTAAGATCAAGCTAGGCCAAATCCTAACACAGATTGGGGAGGGGTTTATGAAGTCCCAACCCTAGCTAATGGCAACTGATGGGTGGTTCCTGAATATATAATAGGTTCCTGCTTCTGTTGGTGGGCCCACACCCATATTCTAATAGGCGGCATGAGGTGGACTCAGTGGGTTTACAAGTAGCACATGGAATTGGAAGGGAACAGTGGGGGAGATAGAGGAGGAACTGGAAGGGAGTAAATAGGGGGTAGATTTGATCAAAGTGTTATATATGATGCATGAAATTCTCAGTAAAGAAGTGTGGCTTTGGGCTGTAGCTGCACTGTTTCCCACCAGTTTACAGCCTTGGCTGAGTTTACAGCCTTGACTCTGGCAACAAGTCCCAAGCTGACCTTCTATGCTCTCATTGAAGATCATTGCAGCCCTCAAAGAGCTTTTGTTTATGGGCATTGTGCCAATTTGGGGATTTGTCATATTAGAAATTCAAACTGGAACTGGGTATAGTGGCTTACCCTGTAATCCTAACACTTGGAAGGCTGAGGCAGGAGGATTGCCTTGAGTTTGAAGCCAGTATGGGCTACATGAAAGTTCTAGGTCAGTGCAGGTTACGGAGTGAGATCCTGTCTCAAAAACAAAAACAAAACCTCCAAAAAACAACAAAAAAAAGTCAAATTGAAATGGAAACAATTGAGAAACATATTAGCATAAGTAACATTTTAGTGACAAATATGAACAATACTTACCTAAAACAATAAAATAGCACTGTTTTAGATTTTGAAAGGAAAAAATATATATGTATATTTATTACATATGTTATTCACATAGATGTGAGTGCTCTTTGCTTCCTGTTATGTGTGTTCTGTGGATAATGACTACTGTTGAGAACTGTTAGAAACAAGGAACAGCACTCTTTCCTTCTCCTTTTCTTTTTAAGCAATGTACGTTTTGGTACACTACCTAGCATTTTCCAGTTTCCTTTGTATTCATTTCTCAGTGTGGGATTAATGTGCTTTCGCTTTTTGCATGTGTGTGTGTGTGTGTATGTGTCTTGTTTTTGAGACAGTTTCTCTGTGTATCTCTAACTGCTCTGGAATTCACTCTGTAGACTAGGCTGGCCTCGAACTCAGAGATCCTTCTGCCTCTGCCTCCTGAGTGCTGGGATTAAAGGTGTGTGCCACCACCACCCTGCTCATGCTTTTGCTTAAATGTGTTTTAGGAGTTTTGTGAGTTGAGTTAATCCTTGTGAAACACTTCATAGTTGTTGTCATTGTCTTTAGAAACTATTTCATTCTTTTGCTTTTGAGATAGGATCTTAAGTGTCACATAGCCTAGGCTGGCCTCAAATGTGCAATGTAGCTGAGGGTGACCCTGGGTTTCTGATCTTCCTGCCTCCACCTCCTAAGTGCTGGCTTCATAGGCACGTGCTGTCCTGCCTGCCTCCTTGTGTTCTTTCTCCTTAACAGATAGTAGTCTATGTAGATATAACATAG